ATGAGCATGAAATATGAATTAAACCATATCCGTCGTAACTAATGCATATAGAATAATAAACATATTATTGCTCAAAATAAAATTGCATATAATAATATAGTCCTATATGTAAAAGATGCAAATAAATTATATATGCGTTAAGAATTGAATTATTTATATGTTTATTTACTTACTTTTATCTACATAATCTATGTACTTACTATGACACTTTTTTTAATTTCTGTCTCGTAATTACTTATAAGAAAACTTCCAAAACGGTCCTACAGCTTGCGTTAGCTAAGAAAAAGTAAACATAGAGGCTAGGATGTCAAGAAAGTATTTTAAAATTCAGGCTTTGTATAAAGTGAATGATTTTTTACCATTGAATATTAGTTATCAACAATTTCTGCTTTGCAGCCGCCAGCTTGTTTATTCTAAAAATTTTCGTCTTCCTCTTTCAACAGACACCATTCCATAAATATGGCTGTTTTTCGCATATGCTATTCCATGTCGTCGATAGCAGGTCTGTAGTCAGCACATGTGTTTACTTAGTGTAGCAAGTTTCTGAAGTTAGCAATCCACTAAACACACTTTGCATATGACACAATTTAAATCTTAAAATATTCACTTCCTCTCACTGGGTATTTTTTGCTCTTCCTTGCTACTTTGTAGACCTGAAGTTGAAAATTTCGATTCTTTCTAGTGTGTAATGTGCTTTAATAAACTATATGATTGCCTTATCAAAACAAAAAGTTTTTTCTTTTAAATGGGTGATGAGAAAAAAAATGATCAGCCGTTGCTGATAATTTTGATAAAATCATTAGCAAATTTCAACATTTAAAAATTACTTAATACTTTGGTTAGAAAATTTGGTGATAAATCACATAAATAGGAATTAATCAAATACTTATATGATACACATATACATAAGCAGTGCAGTTTCTGAATTATTTGCGTAAAACATTGAGTATAGAATAAGAAATATTTGGAAAAATAGTGTATTACTATTAATATTAAGCACTTAAAAAAATTAAAATTGAAAATGATTTAAATATAAATCTTTGGCTCTTGACTTTTATGTTTATTTGAATTGTGCATCAATAATGAGCTTGAAACTCAAAAATTTTTTGAAACCAGTTTTTTAATGCTTATTCAATCCTTCGATTTTCCAGGTTATTCTTGCATAATCTGAACTTTCAATTTTATCAATAGAATACGATATTAAGCAATGAATTGCCGAAATTATCCTTGTTTTTGTTAGCGGTTCGAAAGCAATAAATTTTTATGCCCTCAATAAAAAGTCACTTAAAATGCTCGAAAACAGCTAAAACTAGTGAGAAAAAAAATTTGTAATGTGTAAGATAACAATGTATGTACAATGCAATACTGAGTTTATGAGTGTGAAGTAGACAAGTAATAATTTTTGAAGGAAATTCTCAAGTGAAAATGATTAGGAAAAATAACAAAGCATCAGCCCGCATTCATTGTCAGTACGGTGATAAATGGATAAATTCACTTAAAATAGTTACATTCCTGAAGCTTAAATGAATGAAAGTTTACAAGAGTCAGTTATAAGCTTATTTCAATCTAATATGGAAACTTTCATTACACACAACGGTAAAGCATAGTCAAAATTGCAGCAGTAAAAATTAAATTGAAAAAAAGGAAGGAATTTTGCATTCATATCTCCTTCTATCATGTATGGTTTCAGTTACTCATTGTAATTAGTATCGAAATAATCGGTATGTTAGTGACATGAACGAATGAAAAAGAATCAACTATGATCATTAATAAAATAAAGGATAAAGTACCGTAATATACTGCGAATTTAGGAAAAATTTGATGACGATAAATAACTTTGTGCACTTGCAAAAAACGCTACATCGATTTGTGTAATTCAGTAGAGGAGTAGAAAAACATTTTATAATTGAAATTCGCGAATGTAAGAAATGTTATTCGGAAGAAAAATGCACTACGGCTTTGGCATTTAAAACCCACAATATTATTAGATTAATCAACCATATGCAACTGAATAAATAATTTGTATTGCAGCGATAATTCAAAAGCTGTTTTCACTGCTACTTGCAAAATTTTTTCTTGAAAATGTTTGAAAATTTTGCAAAATAATACTACAAACATGTGAATAAATTTGTTCCTGCTTTTTCTTGACTGTTTCGGCGGACAATTTTTTCATATTGTTTACTTTTATTAAACGTAACTGATATATCTACTAGTCTTATCTGTCCCGCACAGCAATTAGAATAGTGAGTTTGCTGACTTTGTAAATATGCATTACACTCTTCACCATTTAAATCTTATTTGTAATAAAACACTCTAATGAAATCAAAACCACTGTGAGCACAAATTAGATCTTTTTAAATACTTTAAACTATTCTGGATTACATTTCCAGCTTCTGAAAAATAACATTTTGGCTGTGCAGTGCAGTTGTGCACTTTTTTTGCTACGAATGATGGAAAAAAGAAAAAGGGACGAATTCTGCTGTTTTCCAATTTATATTCTAAACTTAATTTTGACCAAAAAATATAGAAAATGCCTTTTCCATATAGGCATATATAAATACATACGCAAGTATGCAAACATACAAACTCATCATATACATGTGCACACATACACACTTCCATGCACCACATACATTTGCGCACATACGAAAAGGATATAGTTGACAGATTGTTGTTTTTAAATGAGCCGTGGAACGAAAGAATATTATAGATAATGTGAGTATTGGAAGAAGTTTTAATAGTTGGTACAAATAATGACTGCATTATTGGAAAAGGTTTATTGCACAACAAAATGGCTTTGTGATGAGAATATTGCGGATGACTGGCTTTTTTAAATGTCAGTTTTGGATAATTACTTTTTGATTTTGCCTGTAAATCAGCAATGTCTTAGTGTAGGTATGGATACAGCATGCAAAAAAAAAAAAAAAAAAAAAAA